TTCACACTACATACTTTCCAGGTCCAGCAGGAAGGTGAATGCAACTGCACGACTCTATGAAGGAGGTGGGCGGGCTTATAATTTTTTGTGCGTGGCCGCACAGGCATGCACCTTAGAGGGAACACTGCTTGCAGGCATCTCCTGCCTTCTATTGCCAACAAACATGTCTGTTTCCTCTGTATTCTATATCAACAGACAAGGGGGAGCCAGATCTCGATCCCTGTGCACCGAGGCCATAAAACTGTGGAATTTTTGCATCAAGCACAACATCTACCTGTCTGCAGTTCATATACCAGGTGTCACCAATGTAATGGCGGACTCTCTAAGCAGACATTTCCCTCAGCATCACAGATGGGTGCTCAACACTACACAACCAAATGCACACAGTTTTGCTCCTGAGCAGGCATTGTGACAGGATCACTTGGAGACGCCTTCCTCATTCCATGGAATCACAAGCCTGCTTACGCCTTTTATCCGACACTACTTCTTACCAAAGTCATTCAGAAGGTTGGGTGCCAGTAGGCACCATGCATGTGTGGCCTGGGCCCTCCAGTTCCTTCTCTACCTTGGAAGTTCTCCAGATCCAAAGAAGAGGGGAGAGGGTGGGTCATGGAACAACCACGAGGACGCCATCTCAAAGAACTCCAGTTACTGCACAAGGCAAGTAACCTTCGTTTCTTCTTCAAGAGAGCACTGTGGATGCTCCATGCTTGGTGATTAACAAGCAGTTTTGGCCTGTGGTGGCTGGGGCTTCGGAATATTGCGAAGGCCTATGATAGAACTGCGGAGCCCAGTGACGTGTCGATCCCATAAGAAGGTGCATAGTGCTTAGCAAAGGGCAACATCAGGTAAGTTGTGATGCCCAAGTAGCCGCCTTGCAAATGCCCTTCACTGGCACGTTGGACAGCCTTTGTTTTGATATGGGTTGTCCTTTAACTTGGTCAATGAATGCGCAGAAGAGGTGAAGTGTTTGCCTGAAGGGCCTAGTTCTTTGCAGTTAAAATGACCGTGCTTGCCTGACATTGAGCGTATGCATGGAAGCCTTGAATGCATTTGCATGTGGTTTTGGGAAAAATACAGGCAAGCTCCAATCCAGGCGCCAGGACAGCACCAAGACTAAGTGTGGAGCATCCACGATGACACCATCTCAAACAACACTATTTACTCCATAAGGTGACAAGGATCAGAGGGGTAGTCGTGTTAATCTGGATCTGCAAAAGCGGTGAGGAGTCCTGTGGCACCTTATAGACTACCAGATGTATTGGAGCATAAGCTTTTGTGGGCAAAGACTCACTTTGGACATGCATCTGACGAAGTGGGTTTTTGCCCATGAAAGCTTATGCTCCAATACATCTGTTAGTCTGTAAGGTGTCACAGGACTCCTTGTCGCTTTTGCATAAGGTGAGTAACCTTGGTTTCCATGACCGCTGTGAAAACTCACAGACTTTTTCATGCAGCATGATTTCCCCCTTTCAAAAGTTGCAGTGATTCTCCCCTAACAGATCATGTTCATTTATGTGTCTGATAATTCTGTTCTTTTACTCTAGTTTCCACCAGGTTGCCTGCCAGTGAAATTAGGTTTACAGGCTTAGAATTGCCAGACTTTCCTCTGATACCTTTTATAAAATCAGCCTCACTTTAGCTATCTACCAGTCATCTGGTACAGAAGTAAGCAATAGTTACGTACCACAGTAGATAGTTCTGCAATTTCATATTTGAGTTCCTTCAGAATTCTTGGGCGAGTACCATGTGGTCCTGTTTAATTTAATAGCTACTGTTTAATTTATCAATTTGTTCCAAAAACTCCTCTATTGACACCACAGTCTGGGACAGTTCCTTGTATTTGTTATCTCATATTTGTTACCTAAGATCGATGCAAACAATACATTTCACTTTCCTGCAGTGGACAGGAAAGGAAAATCTGTTTATAAAAACCTCAGAGTTTTTCTGTCTATTTTGTGACCATTTAAAGCTTGGGAGAAAAGACATCTTTATTAAAATTCACAGCTTCTCTCCATTCAGCTTAAGAGTGAGAGCCCACATAGACAGCTCTGGTATGCCCAAAAAATCATCCCCCAGAAAAGAACAACCCCAGAAGACATGACAGTCCCAATATTTCTAACATTAGAAAAAGCAGAAAGAAAACTTAAAAATAATAAAATATTTTAGATCTTTTCTAGATAAAAAAAGCAGCAAAACAAGGGACAAAACCTGCTTAGTACTGCTTCCTATTTTTTATCTTTATTCACCAAAGGCCTCATCCAAAGCCTAATGATTGGGAGTCTTTCCATACACCTCAGAGAGTTCTGGATTAAGCCCATAGTGTGGGTAAAGTAAGTGAGGACTGTGAAAGTGGTTACCTCTACGCAAGGCTCGCAGGTTCTGTTTGGCGTGGTGATGCAGCTCCTCCACACAGGGCGGTCTGGTTGAGGGGAGGAAAATATTTCTTTGCTGATGCCAAGGTGCTCGGTAGTACACACTCAGTTTACTCTCTGCATCCAGGTTAGAGACAGCTAAAGCATAAAAAACAAGACAATAGGACATTTACCCACTGTTATATACAGCTTATCTGAAACAACAAGCTAGGCTTCCTATTTGGAAGGTACATTACTGCTATAAAGGGAGGGCATCTCTCCTTCCACCCAGTGATATGAACCATTATTCTTTCAATCTTTTTGTATGTAATACCACCACTTAGCATTTATATAGCACATTTCCTCTGTACTCGCACAGGGCTTTATAGAAAAAAATGAGTACTATATCATTATCTATATATGATATCTCTGTTATATATGCTAGCTATTTGTGAATATATATATGCTAGATCTATGTTAGATATTTAAGAGTAAAAATCATTATCATTTTCACTTTCAAATGGCAAAACCAAGGCACAATGAGGCCAAGTAATGTGCTCAAGGTCACCTATTGAACCAGCAGCAGAGTGGCGAACAGAATGCACCAGCTAGATCTCTAAGGGTAAGTCTACACTACCACCCTAGTTCGAAGTAGGGTGGTAATGTAGGCAACCGGAGTTGCAAATGAAGCCCGGGATTTGAATTTCCCGGGCTTCATTTGCATAAAGCTGGGCGCCGCCATTTTAAAATGTCCATTAGTTCGGACTCCGTGCTGCGCGGCTACACGCGGCATGGACTAGGTAGTGCGGACTAGGCTTCCTAGTCCGAACTACCGTTACTCCTCGTTTCACGTTTCACGAGGAGTAACGGTAGTTTGGACTAGGAACCCTAGTCCGAACTACCTAGTCCGTGCCGTGTGTAGCCGCGGGCACGGAGTCCGCACTAGCGGACATTTAAAAATGGCGGCGCCCGGCTTTATGCAAATGAAGCTCAGGAAATTCAAATCCCGGGCTTCATTTGCAACTCCGGTTGCCTACATTACCACCCTACTTCGAACTAGGGTGGTAGTGTAGACATACCCTAACTACTAGACTATGCTGTCTCACTGTAATATGCAGTCTACGATCTTGCAATACTGGTTATTTTCTCACTGCATTTCAGTGCATGAAGACAGACTACTGGATGTGTTTGTTAAGCAAATTCAAGTGCTACATTCCAGAAAAGGCACTTTTTAAACAGAACTTGGCTTTTGAGGGACTAAAAACTTCAATTTCTCTGCCCAACAATCTCAGAGGACTTCCTCTGAAAGTTACATGAACTAGCTACACATTAAGGAAGGCCAGAATTTCTCAGCAGCAGGCAGGCCCAGGGGAGGCAAGTTCAACTTTAGTGTATTGTCACTAGTTTTACACGGGCAAAATAAATAAGTAAGCAAAAAATGAATTCTGCAGGTCTGTAGTGGCCAAACTTTGTATCACTATATTTAACAACTAATATGAAAAAAGAAAAAATATTTTCAAATCCCTCTCTCTTTATTGCTTTTTAAAATAAGCTCTAACACTAATAGCCTTCAAAAGGTCTAGACTTTCTGGTTATTTCTCTTTGGCAGTTACTCAATTATCTCCGGTTTCTCCCGGAAAACTAAGGAGTCATAGTAATGACTCTGGTCACAGAGTAGAGGTCACAGTGCTCTCAACAAGTGTGCGTGTGATGGGGTGGGGCGTGGTTTTCACTTCACAAATATGGAGCCTTGAAGTCCTACTAACAGTGGGCTCAGAGTCTGGACAGATCTAGATAGTACCCATAATCATAAATGCATTACAATTTTTTCCTCCTTTCCTCTAATCTTTTTGTAACCGAACAGTAACACAAAGCCCTCTCAGGCAAATGCTCTAGTTCAGTGATCACAATGCTGCCACCTCACAGGGAACCAGATCATTTCCCCACATTTCTTGAGAGGGAAGTAATTCCCAAAACACAGCCGAGGCAACAAAGCAATCCAGCCAGTCATTCAGTTGCTCAGTGATAGCATTGAGTGGGGACTGATGAGCTAGCTAAGGGCCCAAAGTTCTTTGAGCTCCTTTTTATCCAACTCAGGAACACCTCAGAATAGGGTTGCCAGATGGTTTCACAAAAAATACCAACCCCTCCCCCCCCCAAAAAAAAAAAAAACGCCAGGAGAAAATTCTGTTGAGCACAAATAATAAATTTTAAAAAAGCTGCACAAAAGTTGTTGAAAAAAAAAAAGCCACAAGAAAAGTTGGCAAACTAAACTCCCTCAGTGATGACACTCAAATCTGCAAGCAGGAGTGTCAGTTATGGGGAAGATCGTAGGGCATGGCGAGGGGCCTCTTGAAGTCTAGGCAAATGCCTAAGCTTTAGGACACTTATCCTAAAATGTGACCATTGTGGGATTTTCCCATCACTGGTTTAATATTCATTTTCACAAAGCAAGATTTCCCATGGTTTCCGGTAGTTTTTGTCACTATGTATTGCAACATCCCAATGCAATATACTATATGGGTATGTCTACACAGCAAAGTTATTTTGAAATAACTTTCCTACCGTCTACATAGCCATTCCGTTATTTCGAAATTAATTCAAAATAGTGGAGGGCTTATTTTGAAATTGGTAAACTTCATTCCACGAGGAATAGTGCCAATTTTGAAATTATGATTTCGAAATAAGCCCTGTGTAGACGCTTATTTCGAAATAGGGGACCTCCAGCCCTTCCTCGGGTGCCCTGCTGGCCGCCCTGGTCACAAGGCAATGTCTGACCTTATACCCTGCTGGAACTGATTCCAATCAGCCTTAAATGTGATTCAACATCCACTCAGTGTGGACGTGCTATTTCAAAATAGAAAAACGCTATTTTGAAATGCATTTTGTGTATAAACGCGTTATTTCAAAATAAGCTATTTCGAATTAACTATTTCGAAATAGCTTATTTCAAAATAACGCTGTAGTGTAGACATACCCTATGGGACTGAGAATGAGCATATATGTTGCTGGTGGATTTACGGGGGGGGTTGAAAATTGCCTTTAAGTATTTGTTCTGAAGCCATACTTATTCCATTATAAATAATAAATATCAATGGAATGAATATGCAACCTTTGGTGGCTTCTCTATCTACTTGTATGGCTCTCATCACAGAAGAATCTGAACTACTCACAATGTCTAATGGATTTTACCGCTTTGAGGTAAGGACGCCTTAGCCCCATTTTACAGAAGGAGAACAGAGACATGGGACGGATTAGTGACTTCCTCAAGGTCATGAAGAAGGGCTATGACTGAGCTGGGAATTGGAATCAGGTTTCTTAAAACTCAGTCCATTGTCCTATCCACCACTCAAGGCTTACTTGTGGAATTATTCATGGGGGAAAAATATATGCATATTGGCAATCATGGTAATTATGTTAAACATTCTTTATAGCCCTGAGAATAGAGGATGTTCGTTATCACAGATGGTATGAGTGGAGACACAAATAAAATGGCACGCATAAGTCACCCCTTCCCATCCCAAGAAGAGCTGCCTGATCTTCAGCTCTCTGTATGTGGTGGTCATAAAGAAACAGAGTTTTACCATCAAATGAAATGTTCATGTACATTTAATTACATCAGCTTCAGTGGAAAATTATAGAAATAAGATTAGCTGGGTTTGGTTAAATGTGTTTTAAGAAGGTTTTAAAAAATAAAAATGCTTTTAGTACAATGGTGTTACGTATTAATTGTCCAATGCTCTAGGCTCTTCCCCTCCCCAGCTAGCCCTTCCACAATAATTATTCTCTATTAGGTAAACCTATGCAAACTAAATATAGCACTACAGTAAAGAATAATCACATAGTTCATTCTCAAAGGATATGAAGCTAAAAAGCTTAAAACATACTGCACCACATTTTCAGCTGGTGGCAATGTATCTTCACTGGTTTCACTGGAGCCATTTTGATGTATCCTCGCTGAGGATCTAGCTCAATAGGCTAGATACATAAATCATAGCTTTTGCAGAATGCCCCCAGAAATGATTTCATAACATTAAAAAGTTCCTGAGTTTCCCAGTACATCTCTCTTTTCAACCCCATTCTTTGGAGAAGGGGTATTTTGGGCTCTGGTCCCACAAACACATCTGTTAGCAGTAGGCCCACCAATGGGGCTGGGATGAGGGAAGATGGCAACTGTTCTGGGGCCCAGTGATTCAAAAGGCTGACCTAGCCCCTCCCCTTCTGCCTGAGGCCCTGTTCCTTCTAGGAGTGTGAAACTGACCTAGGGGCCTGACCAGTCTGTCGGTCCCACTGGTTAGCACAGACCCTTATGTCCATTGGCTGACTCATTGACTAGAAGCTGAGTACAAAGGCTGCAAGTCCAAGCTAGCGGGTGCAACTGCAGAATTGGGGCATTTTGCTGTAAGCTTTTTGAGGCAGCAAATGTCTCAGTTTCTGCTCAGAGCTGAACCTATTGTCTGTACTAAAATAAACAGTAGTAGTTAAAGATCATGGGGCTGTTACCATAAACAGATTTTTCTTTTTGCCTGGTATTATGCAGGTAGTCAGACTAGATGATCTAATGGTCCCTTTTGGCATTAAAAACTATGACTCTGTGAAAAGAGGCTCATGCAAACAATCACATTTATTTCACCCATGAATCACTGTAATTGTTTTATCTCTTGTGGGATGGGAAAAAGGACCCCTATTTAATGCAGTCACCATTAGATACTGGTTATGTAATATTGGTTGGTTTCATGTCAATCTGAGAAAAACACACAAACATTAATGGCTATTCTCTTCAGCAGATTTTGCAATTTTCTAAATGGAGGTGTAACCAAAGCTTTCATAGGCCCTTCACTTCCCCTCTCCACTCACTTCCAGCCTCCTCCTCCTTTTGATTTTCAAAATCATAATGTGGTTGAGCTGTGTATGGATGCTTGAAGGTAGCACAGCTTAGTGCACTCAAGCGTGTTTGTTCTATTAATAACAACATAAAGGCCAAGCAAGAAAGTTTTCTGCTCTATTTATTTTGATAGATCCAGGGGTTTTCCCTGACACTCTCACTTGCCTTCCCACTCTCCTTCATATTCTTAACCTTCTAGTTATTGTTTATGTTTTTGATGATGGTGAGGATAATAATTATAATTGGGTATCAGGGAAATAATTTCACATGCTTT